ACAGCAGGTTGCCATTTTCTGTTAGCACTAACCAGACCCCAAAATCAGTACCAAACTGCTCTGGCCATATCAAAAGAGGGAAGGGACGAACTCTTCTACTTTTTGGCAAACTCTCACAGCACACGCTATACCCAGGTTAACAAATTACCATGGCTCTGTACACATAATATGCAACATGGAGGCAAACATTTTCTTCAGGCTAATGGGGTTGGGTGGCCAGAACTAGTTGAATAAATTGAATGGAATAAATTGAATGGAATTGAATTGAATATATGGAATGGAATAAATTCAATTGAATAAATTACATGAACTGAATAAACTGAATAAATTGCAGGAATCGAATGGAATAAATTGCAGGAACTGAATGGAATAAGTTGAATCGAACGACCTGGATCCTGCAACGTCTGCAAACCTAGACCCTTGTGATTCATCCACCGGTGAGCCAAGAGTGCAAAAGACGCTGTTAGAATTTTATTTCTTACCCGGCTCGCTTCTGAGCCGGGATCAAAGGGACCACAGGCAGTTGCATGAAATTAAGCTCTTTATTCTTCACCCAAAAGCCAAAGTGCTGGCAGCAAGCTGTTAGGTGAGCGGCCATGGTTCAACCCTCCCCAAAGCACAATATCTACCTTCCATGCAGCCCCTCCTTTAGAATACCACCCCTTGCCCAGTCACCCGTTTCCCGCCTCAGCAGCATTGCATGTTATGACCTTCCTTCCTTCGACCATTAGCTAAACATCTTTTCCTAGGAAGAAGCAATCCTCGGAATGTACCCCTTATCCTGTTCCTGTGGGGACAGCTTCTCATCTATCAAGGTTAGTGAAAAAGGCCTCCAAGTCTACAAATGTGAAAAGGACCCCAGGACCAGGTTATCTGAGGAGCCATCTTGCCCCCATTACACTTGGTCTGGCAGAGGGGGCATGTTGTGGACCCCGCCAGTCAAGGAATCCCAGCTGGCGGGGTCTAGGAAGGGGGCCTTTTCTGCCGTGGCCCCTGCCCTGAGGAACAGCTTGCCACCGGCAGTGGGGCCCGACCCCCCCAATTCTCCTGGCCTTCCGGAAAAGTGTGAAGACGTGGCTATGCCAGATGGCCTGGAGGCCGGATGGGGGCTCGTCTT